ATGGACCTTTTGGTTCTGGTCTAATACAAATATGGCTAATTGAAGGTGGTCACAAGATTCAACCTGAAGGTAGAAAAGGTACGTAGAGCTCCAGAAAGGGCACTCTGTCATAAAGAGGGATGGATGTCTGACGGTCTGGACCCATGTGCCCAAAATACAGAAGATCTATGATGTAAGAGACCCATGTGGTTCCTGGGTGCGAAACAGATAAATGCATATTGTTTGGTGTGATATCAGCACATGATGATATAAGCCCCATAATCCAAATGAACACAGTCAGATAGCATCCTCATAGTGTCTTTTAGCCAATGCACACTGTAAAGTCTGAAGCCTATAAACTTGCACGTTAACATTACAATGGGAAAACATTATTTAAAAAGCACTAACAATTTTATAACCTAAGTAAGTAAGTAACTAACTAACAAACCTGCTTTAGGGTACGTAGCGATAAGAATATCATCTGGTCTTGCTTTGAAGTTCTGTACGTTGTCCCAGTTGTCAGTGAAAGCATTGGTCATGGAGACTCCATGGAAGTCAAACAGTTGTGGCCGATGTAGCACCTCCATCTGTAAGAATAACTTGTTTTTTCATGTTTTCCCCATCCTTCTGCTACTTAAGTTAATAAGTTATGTTTTGCAACCTCTGGTTTTTAAAACCAGAGTTGATGACTATGCTGAAACTAGAAGTTTCATCGGGACTCTTTTGGTCACACACTGTTGTAGCTCATCTGTGATTTAAAGTCAAGGAAGAATCCAGGTGCTTGATTTGGTTTCTTCTTTTAATAAGAGATCTGATGAAGGTCTGCATTAATCTATTAATTCAACATTCTGGAGTTGCTGTCTCTGCTTTTTGTTTGGTTGTTGTTTCCAGGTTTAGTGGAGACGATTTGTTCCTGCACCACTAATAAGTCCTACTGAAATTATACCTCTAACTTACCATCATCACCTTTGCCAGTTTAACCTTTGCAACTGTAGTGTTTTCTTTTTTATGAGAGCATTTATGTTTTTACTATTCACTTTCTGATTGCAGTTTGGACCTTGTCTGTCTGGATTCTGCCTGAGCTTTGTGTTGCTCACCTTGTTTTTTTGTTTGTTGTACTAGCTTAATAAAACTCTGAATAATATTAACATTGCTCTGTGAATATCGGTCATGTTAGTCACAAAGAGGTTCAGTCAAGTAAGTGCAAAAACAGTCAGCTGACAGTACAATAATTATAAATAACACGGTGAACATTTTCGGCTTTACTGTTTTTTACAGAGAGGAGGAGAGACATGAGATGATGTAAGTTAAAGTCAGCTCGTGCACTCCAGCATTGGTAGAATCAGGAAACACCAGAATTACAACATTTCCCCTCCAGCCGTGTTCTCTAACCACACTGAATAAGACACATTTATTTCATTCATTACATTTTAGTGTTAAAGTATTTAAAACAAGGACGTTTTAATGCAAACAAAATATTTTTGTAAAGTAAAAGCACAGAAGATTTATAGTTGGTAACACATGATTACAAGGCTTGCTTACCATCTAGGATCACTCCTACCAACTAACGTAATCTTGAAATTGTGAGGAGGGCACGTGACTCGACGGTTTAATCGTTAATTTCAGCAATGACTCAGACCTAAAGTGAAGGAGTTCAGTATTTGCTCAGTATATTTGGACCAAACTTAAGAAGGATAAAGTTAGAAGTTAGAA